TCAGTAATCACACCAAGCACCGCGAAAGATTCCTCCCTAGATTTCAGCATCCTCCTTGTACACCAACTAAAATGGGTCTTGGGAACAATTTGCCAGAACCCAACCCCTTTCAACACATAAACGTGAAACCAAGCAATCCTGAGAGATCTTTGGCCAGCCAGAATGTCCTTCACAAGAGAAGAAAGGCAAGTCTTGTTCCAGGTTTTAAGATCCCTCAAACCAAAGTCCCCTCAGATTTGGGGGAGCAAATCCTCTCCCAACTAACCTTTGAACCTGTTGCGGGAGAGTCAGAACCCTTCCAAAGGTACCTAGCACAAAGCTGCTCAATGTGCTTAATGATGGACTGATGCAGAATGAGTTGCTTACACCAAAAGTTCACAACATTAAAAAGCACAACCCTAATGAGTTGCAAACTACCAGCATAGCTAAGATTACGATTACTCCAATGCCCTCGCTTGGCCTTGACTTTCTCAATAAGAGGGTATCAATCCTTCTCAAAGAGTGTCCTAGTTACCAAAGGAACCCTAAGATAACAAACAGGCAGATAACTTGCATTGAACCCCGATAGACTCTAAATTGCAGCAAGAGAATTAGCACTGACCCCAGATGCAAAGACCTCACTCTTAGCAGCATTAAGCTTCAAACCAGACTACACATAAAACTTCTCTAAAATGCACTTAACTCTAAAAATCGAATCCAATGAACCTTTACAGAAGATAAGAAGAACATCAGCAAAACTCAGATGAGTTAACTTTCTTACATTTGGGATGGAACTGAAACATGTTCCTTGCAGCAGCCAAATCCAGAAGCTTAGAAAGAACACTCATGGCCAAAACAAAAAGGTAAGGGGACAAGGGATCCCCTTGCCTTATCCCTCTGCCACCTTTGAAAAAACCAACTAAAGTACCATTAATAACAACATAAAACCTGGAAGTGGTTAGGCAAACCTCGATCCAACCCCTAAACTTCTTAGTAAGCTCGAGAGCTTTTAGCAACGACAAAATGAAATCCCAACTCAGAGTATCAAATGCCTTATGAATATCAATTTTCAAGGCACAACGAGAAGGGGACTTCCTAGCATGCCCTTTAACCATGGTTTTCAGAACCGGACCGATTAGCGAACCGGACCGGTTAGCGAACCGGTCATGCTACTGGTTCAACCGGTCGAACCGGTCCGACCGGTCGGAAGAACCGGACGACGTCATAATTATTTAAAAAATTAAATAAAAATACCAAAAATATTTAATAAAAAATAATTTTTTATATCACAAGTCATATTCAAAGCAAGTCATAACATATAAGTTAAAAACCATAAAATCAAGTGAAACAAAATGATTCAAATTACTACAACATAATATTTAAGGTAAACATATTAAATAATAAATATAATTATATAACTATAATTAAAAAATAAATTTGAGGTTAAAAAACTCATAACAAAATGATATTGTTTGGTTTAATTTTTTTTTTTAAAAACAATCTCACATGGCTAAGAAACATAGAAGAGCATCCCAAAAGTCTAAAGAGTAAAAATATGAGAACAAAACAATCTCACAATTGCTAAGAAACATAGAAGCGCATCACAACTAACTTCTATAAATAATAGAGATAATTGACATTCAAAATCATGGAGCTTTGGAGCATTGAGTGAACTATTCTTTCACTTCAATCAAGCTCGATTTTAGGCTTCAATCGAGCTTTTAATTTTTTTTTTTGAGTTCAACCTTTTTGAGTTCAAGTTCAATATTTATTTCGAGTTGAGTGACTTGATAATTTTTAACTTGTGAGTTTGAGTTGAGTTAAGCTTACTTTTAAAGTTTTCAAGTTCGAGTCGAGCTCAACAATACTCGAGTTCGACTTGACTCGTTTAACAAACGACGTTGTTTAGTTTAATTTTTTTTTAAAAAAAACAAAAATCCCGGTTTTTCCCGGTTTTCAGCCTATCCGGTTCGAACGGTTCAGCGGTTCTGGCCGGTTCACTAATAACGGTTCAACCGGTTTAGATTGAACCGGACTAAGCAACGGTTCCCGGTTAAACCGGTTGAACCGGCCGGTCCGGTCCGGTTTTCAAAACAGAGCCCTTAACTAACTCTTGAGCCAGAAGTTTATTATCAATGATGTTCCTCCTCTTAACAAAAGCAAACTGATTCGGGACAACTATACCAGGAAAAAAGGAGTCAATTTATCCATCAAAATACGAGTGATAGTCTTGTACACCAACGAACAATAAGAAATGGGACGGAAGTCTTTCGCATTACAAGGAGTCAATTTTTACCCTATGCATGTTAGGAACACGGAACCATCACGCATTTTCCTATCGACTCTGGACGAGATAAACAAATTGTCTAGAATCTAAACTTATTTATTTAAGATCAGTTCTAAGATGGCAGACCATCAAGTTAAATGATAGAAATAAGAAGTGTAAGTAACTTAAGTACATCTAAATTCTCAGGTTTAAAAGGTCAGATAAATAATAGAATTTATCAAGTTAAAAAAGCAACATTCTTTACCTTGTTTTAATAATAACAGAAACTTTCGAACAAACAATAGCACATGATTCATGATTTGTCCGTTCACAATTTTTCTCATTGATCAGGGCAGAGGAAGAGATTGTTCAGGTTCCAACGCTAGGCCTAATGTCAACTGTCTTTTACCACTAACTCATGAAAAATTACTACCAACTCAATATCAAGTACATGTCGCTCAAACATTCAACATGTTCTGGTAATTAAAAGAATACCCTTCAATCTTAAACGTCAGTTGCACTGTTTTTTTCACATCAAAATGTGGATTAGCATTGCCAGAGAGATATCACTTTGTCAGGCATTTCTATCGCAGAAAGAAGACCCTAAACATCTCCTTGATTTGGATGCCTATTTAGTGATAGACTTAAGTAAATCATATAAAGTACATGAACTTACCAAATCCGAACTTTTAAATTTATGTTTTCAAACATAGCTTCAAGGAATTGATACATTCAAAAGACAAAGCAACGTACAAAACATTAGTCAAACAATGGCAAGACTTGCAATCAATGAGAAATATTTACATTTTCATTTACTTTTCCCATATAGGGAATATATTTTTTTGCATTTTTTAATTGAATACTTTATAGGGAATATATTTGGTACCCCAATTTCAATTAGAAATTAATGATATACAAAGAGAACCCACCCTAGATGACCAAACCAGAACGACATTTAATCAACTTCATTTCTTCATGTTATGTTTGAGAACAAGAATTTAATATAAATTGTAAGGATGAAATGCATACAAATTTGGAAGGCTTAAGGGTGCATGGGGCTCTCAAACTTTTGGAAAAAAAATCAATCAAGACCATAACTTTTTTAACACAATTAAGCACCTACATTTCAAAATTTCATCAATTCAACTCTTTGACCAACGCTGACCGCTAAATCTACATATTCCGAGCGACAGAACCATAGTGTATCAGATGGCTTAATTATTTCAATAGGGTGCCAAAAAATAGTTCAGTTGCTTAAATGATCTTCATGCACACTTAAACCTATTTGGAAAATATAGGAAGCATGCATTTGTCAAATTCATTAAACAGACAATCCAACAAATTCATGGATTTATGAAATAATCGTGAATCTCTACATTGATTGTATCACTCAATCAATCTACACTGTTTTTAAATCTAAATTCAAATCCGAATAAAAAAGAGAAATTCAAATAAAAAAGAAATATCAAACAAGGAACAGATCAGATCTACTGCATGTTTAGGACTGGAAATAATTTATCCAAAAACCAAAATATATATATACACACTTCATTAGAAAAAATACAACTAAATTAAGTATAAAAACAAAAATGAGAAAAGAGAGAGAGAATTGTTACTTGGAGAGTGCGGGTGGCGAATTCGACTCCGATCGTGGATTTAGATTCTAAGCAAAACTCGTTCCGAGTAAATTGGGAAAGCAAGTTAGATTTTCCTACACCAGAATCGCCGATTAATACAATCTTAAACAAATAATCGTATTCCTCGTCCGGTCTCCTCGCCATTTTTTCAGTTTCTGTCCTTTTTTAAGTGTTGAAGATAAAAATAAAATCAATTTTTCAAAGTTTTAAATCTAATTAAAAAAACACACCGAGATTTCGTCTACGCCTTTAGTTAGAACTTGGAATTGGTGTGAAATACACCGCTCATCTCGCGCGTTGATAAAGATTTGGGTGGCCGATATGACGAAATGGCCCTGAACGGTTCTACGTACCGGTGGTTGCACTGTTAAGGGTAATATGAGAAATCAGACTTGATTTTTTAGAGATATGGGCATATGGCTTCGACTAAGAGGAAAATTTGAGACGGCGTCGTTTCTGTGCTATTTAGTATCATGATTAACAATATTTCAGAAGCTGAAAGTAAGAAAAAATACTGAATTATTTTTTTAATGATTGTTAAACGATTTAAATTTCAAAATTATAAAAAAATTTATAAAATAATAGTTAAGTTTGATCAAACTGTTATAAAAGAAACTACACATTTAATATCTAAACTATCAATTTTGATTCGTTTTAGTACTTAAACTTTCAATATTTTTAAAAACATACATATTGCTTAGTTTTTACTTTATTTTTATATCTCACCGTTAAACTTAACATATTTAGTACCTAAACTATCAATTTTGACCCGTTTTAGTACCTTAAGTTTCATTTTTTTTAAAATTTAACATTAAATTTTGAACAATGTACTAAAACGAAACAAAAACTAAATTTTTTAACGATAGAATAATAAAATGAAACAAAAACTGAACTTTACGTATGATTTTTAAAAAAATTGAAAGTTTAGATACAAAAATAGACCAAAATTAATAGTTTAAATACTAAACATATAATTTATCCTAAAAACTGTTAAATTTATTAATATCTTGTACTTATTGTGATGTCACAGTCGCCATTTTATAATAATTCACTTTGAAAAATTACGAAAAATAATTAGTAAACTTCACAACCAAAAAAGCATATCATGAACATAAATAGGAACGAAAAATATGATCCATTCAAAGTTTTCTAAGGATGGGAGGAAATTATTAAGCTTCAAGAAATGGATAATCAGTGTAACCGATGACAGGATCGGAAAGGTACAAGGTGGTCTCATTACATGTATTTAAAGCTGCATTGAGCTCGAACCGTCTCGGCAAATCCGGATTAGCCAAGAAAAGGCGTCCGAACGCCACCAAATCTGCGGACTGATCAGCAATGACCTTGTTTCCATCTTCCCTATCAAATGCCCCAGCAACAATGAAAGTCCCCTTGAAGGTTTTCCTCATCGGAAGAAGGCTAAACGCTCTGTTCCGAATCACATGAATATAAACGATGCCGAATTGGTTAAGCGCATTCGCCATGTAAATGCCTAGTGCTTCCGGGTTCGAGTCACCGGCTTCCAAGGCGTTGCTGTAAGGTGAAAGTCTCATTCCGACTTTGTCTGCTCCAATTTCATTAACCACAGCTTCGACTACTTCCAGAGCAAACCGACACCTATTTTCTGAACTCCCACCATATCGATCGGTTCTATCGTTTACTTCATCTTTCATGAACTGCTCGATTAAGTTCCCGTATGCACCATGGATCTCAACCCCATCGAATCCTATAAAACAATAAGGGAATTTTATGCAAGAAGAAAGGAACCACGATCCTGATTCCGAAGATCTCGAAAATCAAGAGCCACAAGCAGAACCATGTAGTTATATAAAGGTTTATACAGATCAACCACCATTGTTCATAAGCTGAGCATTAATTTGCACAAGGCAAAACAGGGTAGTACTCACCTGCTTCGATGGCATTACGTGCAGCGAGCCTATAATCATTGACGATATTGGGAATTTCATCAGTCCTTATCCGACGAGGAGGTGACCAATCTCGTCCTTCAAGGCCGGGTGTGATCCCCTTACTAGTGGATGAGATTGGAGCCTCACCATTAGGTTGAAGAGCTGCCTCAAAAAGTATAACAGATATCAGGAATCGTTTTTGGTTTGATCTTAAGCAAGTTGAAGTCAAAATAAACAGAAGGCTCGGACAAAGAAGCTCGAAACTCAACTTCAAGCATACCGTAATTAGACGCACGGCCAGCGTGGGAAATCTGGCAGAAGAAGACGGCTCCCTTCTCATGAACAGCTTCCACAATAGGTTTCCATGCTTCTACTTGTTCTTTTGTCCAAAGTCCAGGTATGTCTTGGAAACTTCAAGTAAAAGCTATGCTTAGTTACTTTTTGATCTCTATAAGCAGCAAACCAAAGAGTATTTTCTTCAAGAGAGTTCTTAGCATATATGAATGATTTTCGAATCATGACAATCTATATGTGACAAGCACAACATCTACATGCATGTATCGTCATTCCATCGATGGTCAACTGAGTGCATGATTATGATACTTGTGAGATTTGATTTATCTTTACAATTGTTGCTTTTCATTCAAGTACCCGTATTAGATACTCTAATCGAATACACGAACAAAGGAATATGACCTTCAAGATACTCTAAACACATTGAAAAATGTTGGTATAAGACTGCTAGAAAATCGAAAACATTAGCATTACTGGTAAGAAAAATCGCATAAAATATCGGTATAATTGTAAAATGAACATCGACCCCCCAAAGTTCACATAATCAATATGGAAATTCTCCAACAAACCTAACCATACCGGTTTCGAATACACACCCGAATCCTAATAACAATCAAACATTGTTCTAAGTCATATATCAAATGAAGGGAACAAAGACTAACCTCATTGCAGTAGTAGAAACCGCATTGGCTTCAGATATGAGAAAACCGTCATTGGTTGCACGCTGAGTGTAATATAAGATAGCATGCGATTGGGGCATATTGTTGAATGATCTACATCTCGTCAATGGTGCTAAAACTATCCTGCAATCAAAAGTATTCGATAGATAACAAATGATCAACAGGACCGTGAAACCAATTTTTTTAATCCAAAATCCCCTTTTTTCACAATTTGAGCATAAAAAACATTGCTAAAATATGCTCTTGTGTTAGATTTCAATAACCCAAAATTCGGGGGGGGGGGGGATCAGCATAAATGAACTTATCTTCCAAGAAAGAGGATGGACATGAGTGGAGTACAAACCTATGAGACAGGTCGAACTTTCCCATCTTATGTGGAGTAAGAAGAGGGATCATCGCTTCCTTGCCTGCCATGGAAACAGCAATCTTGTTTTACTTTCTTCTACTGTATTGTAAGCGTCAAATGAAACTTAGGACGAAACCCGGGATTTGATAAGGGAAGTTAATCATTGTGTGGTGAGTTCTAGATGTTATGCAGACAAACAGAGCAGGGCTTGAGGATGAAAATCCCTGCTATTGGCGGGTCAAGACTATATGCAAGTTGGGCCTGTTTCATTAGACATTGCTTCAACTACTTGTAGTACAAATTGGGCCTGTTTCATTAGACATTAATTTAATTTCTTAAATAGTTAGAAAATATGAAAATTAGTTAACTCTTTTATTTAATTTATCGAGTCAATTGAACCAATGGAATATTCAATAGAGGATGAATTGACAATTAAATATTTGATCGTAAATAAGAAAAAAATATAAAGATAGAACACAAAAAAATTAGAGTGATTCAACTTTCTCGATGAAGTCTACATCCACTACCTTAGTTTTCACACTAATAACAAATAACAAACTTTGAAAAAATCCTTACGAGTAATATGTTTGTACAATTTAGAACAACAAGAACACTTCAAGAAAAATGAATACAAAATAAGTACACAAGTGTCCTATGAAAAAAAAAAATTAGAATATTGACTTTCGTTTTGGCTCTATTTGAGTGCTTATACTTTTTTTTCTCTTATCTTCACATATGTTTTGGAGTCTTGCTTGTTATACCCCCTCGTTCAATTCTACTTGTTTGGGTAGTTGTGAGAATTAGTAAGGCGTTGAGGATAACATTTCCCACAATAAATGATGCCAAACGCTTTGAGTATTGGTACTCGAACTTGAAGTATCGGTAATACCTACATTAATTACAAAAAAATAATCCTTATAGAAAGAGGAGTATCTATACTAACAAAAAAAATCGATACTATTGTTATAAGTAGTATTGATATTGTATGAGTATCAATTAGGGATGGCAACTCAACCCGAGTCTGACGGGTTCCGATCCGACCCGATCGGGTCGGATTTTTTTTTTAAAAAAATTTCGGGTTCGGGTTGGGTCGGGTCGGGTTTTTTTAAATGCACTGTTCGGGTCGGGTCGGGTTTAGGGTAAAAAAATCCGACCCGACCCGAAAAATATATATAATTTTATCTTATATATTTAGGGATAATTACAATAATATCCCTCTATATATAATTTTTTTCAATTAAGTCACTGTTTTCATTGAATTAATTTTTTTTTATTTCGGGTCGGGTCGGGTTTCTAAGTCATATATTCGGGTCGGGTCGGGTGAAACATTAATTTTGTCGGGTCGGGTCGGATCACGGGTGGAGAACCCTTTCTTATCGGGTTGGGTCGGGTGTCCCAAAAACCCGACCCGACCCATTGCCATCCCTAGTATCAATACCAAAATGGTATATTATAATTCATAAGTTTTAAAATCATAAGGTAATATCGGTACTACCATTTGGAGTATTTTATACTATTGTTAAAAGTAGTATCAGTACTGAAATAGTATCAATATTAAAATAGCTTACTCGAATTTGTAAAACAAAAGGAGTATCATTACTGCCCTGAGCAGTATCAATACTATTGTGTATTTTTAAAGTATTAGCATCAGTACTACATTGATATAACATGAACAATATAGGTATTATTGTGTTTAGAATGAATTTTTAACTCGATTAAAGTTTGAAACCCTTAAAAAATTATTTTCACTATATGATTCAATTTTTTAATAAGTTAAAGGAATAAAATAGAGTTTTGGTATATTAAAATATAAAAGTATGTTTCAATATAATTTTTATTAATGAAAATAAGCTATTTTAGACACGTGGATAGATTATTTTTTTCTGTATTATTTGTCAGATGATTATGTTATTAAAATTCTTTGTATGATTCATAATTATTGTTTGATAATCTAGATAGAATATGCTGTGTCGGTAAGAAAGATGAAAAAATTTGATCCTCTTATTAGGAGGGACCAAATTTATATTTTCATATAATATAGAAAGTAAAAATGACTAAATTAAATTATAAGGACTAAATTCATAACTTTCACATTACAAAAGGATTAATAAAAGAATCTAGATTAAATTTTATGATTTCAGCAATTATAATTGTGTAAATTTTATGTAGAGTGCACTTTTTCTCTTGAAGACACCAATGGTAACAGCGATCCTTCAATTAAGTAAAGAAATATCAGTCTTTCACATAATTAGTTCGACTTATAGTTCCATACATTCTTCGTATCACATGCAAAAAAATAATTTAATCATGATCTCACGTGATTCCAATATTTAATCGGCCATAATTACGGTGGCATATAATTAGAATGATTGTAAGAACTACGTCGACGGTAATGGTTGTGGCCGAAGAGAACGACCACAGTATATTAAGGTTAGGATTTGAGATTTGTGGTTATTTTATAATATAAAAAAATTATGTTTTTTTTATAAATATAATAATATTTTTATAAAAAAAATTAAAATTACCAATTGTGAATAGGGATGGCAAACGGGTATAACTTCGTGAATTCTGCACCGTACTCGTTCCAATTGGGGCGGGGATGGGTATAACTTTAGTGGGTAGTGGGCGGGTGTGGATTTAGAAAGTGGTACATATCGCGGATAGTGGACAGGTGATGGGTTTGCGACCTTACCTGCCCCGCATTCACCCGCCCATTAAATACCCATTAAATTTTGAATCATTATAAATTTAGGTATAATTTTAGGGTTTGTTATTTATGTGTGTCAAATAACAAAAATATTATGTGTTTGTCATTTATGTTTGTAGGCTTTAATTATGTCTTTTATTATAATATTTTGTGTACTTTAAGATCTATGTTAACACTTAACTTAGATAATCCCTAGTTTATTTTATTATGTTTTTTAATGGACGTGTTTGTTTTATGTTTGTTGTTTATTTATAACTTAAGGTTGGTGTTAGACGGATCTAGCCGTGTACGTCTCCAGTTGGATAATGAGTATGGGGATGAATTTGATAATGTATCTGCGTGGGCGGGTGTAAATTTGAAATTTTTTACCTATCATCGGTGGTGGGCGGATGGTGAATTTGAAAATATTATATAGGTATAGGGATGGGGGAGGGGTATCTGCACCCGACCCACATGTTTGTCATCCCTAATTGTGAAACGTGTCACTTAACGAAAATAACTAATGGTGTTGACGATAGACACTTAAAGTACTAACATTTGTAACCTCTGTTTTGAAAACCGGACCGGACCGGCCGGTTCAACCGGGAACCGTTGCTTAGTCCGGTTCAATCTAAATCGGTTGAACCGCTATTACTAAACCGGCCAGAACCGCTGAACTGTTCGAACCCGACCGGTTAAAAATCGGAAAAAAATCCAGAAAAAAGGGGAAAATCAGGATTTTTGTTTTTTTTTTTAAAATTAAACCAAACAACGTCGTTTGTTAAATGAGCTAAGTCGAACTTGAGCATTGTTGAGCTCGACTCGAATTTGAAAACTTTAAAAGTAAGCTCAACTCAACTCAAACTCACAAGCTAAAAATTATCAAGTTCAACTCAAACTCGAAATATAATATTGAAACTTGAACTCAAAAAAAAATTAGAAGCTCGATTGAAGCCTAAAATTCAAGCTTGATTGAAGTGAAATAATAGTTCACTCAATACTCACCAAAAGGCTCCATGATTTTGAATGCCAAATTACCTCTATTATTTATAAAAGTTAGATGTGATGCGCTTTTATGTTTCTTAGCAATGTGAGATTGTTTTGTTCTCATATTTTTACTCTTTAGACTTTTAGGATGTTTTTCTATGTTTCTTAGCTATGTGGGTTTATTTTTTTTTAAAAAAAAATTAAACCAAACAATATCATTTTGTTATGATTTTTTTAACCTCAAATTTATTTTTTAATTATAGTTATATAATTATATTTATTATTTAATATGTTTTACCTTAAATATTATGTTGTAGTTAATTTGAATCATTTTGTTTCACTTGATTTTATGATTTTTAACTTATATATGTTATGACTTGCTTTGAATATGACTTGTAATATAAAAAATTATTTTTTATTAAATATTTTTGGTATTTTTATTTAATTTTCGTCCGATTCTTCCGACCGATCAGACCGATTCGACTGATTGAACCAGTGAATCGATAGCATGATCGATTTATTAATCGATCCGATTCTAAAACCCATGTTTATAACTTTAGACACCACAAAAGAAAAAAATGTAGGCCCTACGTATTTGACAATATATATATATATATATATATATATATATATAATTTGGGCACGGGCATTAAGCCTTTCAAAAAATGGTTGTCCCTTTTTCTCATATATATGGAGTAAGGGGGAGGTAAGATAGTAGGCTACCCCCAACACCAGGTTGAGAGCAGCTTTCGTAAGAGACCTCCGAATTATGAAATACCCTCCATGGGACTCGATCCCACGACCTCAAGGTTAAGAACCTTGTGCTCTACCATAGACAGCTAGGCGGAAAAAAGATGAAAAGCTGGAAAGGAGACCACGTTTTTCATGCATGTGCTGTATACGAGATTAGATAAATTGAAAATTATTTTAGATTAATTCGGTCAAATTTAAACTCGAATCTAGTTTTAATAGAGTTGAAAAGAATAAATTGATACTTGACTCGAAAAATTTACGAATAATTCAAAAATATAATATATTAATATTTTATTTTTTAAAAAATTAAATTATTAGTAATATTAATATTTATGTGTTGGTTTTATAAAAAAATGTAATATAAGGTTTTTATATATTTAATGATCGAGATCTAGTTTAAGGCTTCAATCCAGTTAAGTTTAAGAATTTTTTATTTCATAATTTTCAAGCTTTTACGAGTTTTAATTAAGGGTTTTGAGTTCGAGTCAGACTTTAAAATTTTTAGGTTTGCAAGTTTTCGAACTGAATCAGCTTCATTCTAGAGTTTTTGAGTTCGAGTCGGGCTTTAAAATTTTTAGGTTTGCGAGTTTTCGAACTGAATCAAGCTTCATTCTAGAGTTTTCGAGTCGATATGAGCTCAACAATACTCAAATTCGATTCAACTCATTTACAGCCCTATCAAACAGCAACCATTCCAATTTTCAGCTTGGGTAAATATGCATTTTGGTAGTTGAACTTGACTTCAAGGTGCAAATTAGT